GGGTATATTAATATGTAAAAAGGGAGTGTCTCTATAATTATCATAAACTTCATGAGAAGTATTGTGATCCACCTGGATGCCACATCAGCCACAAATGGAGGTTTTGATCACGTGCCGACTTGTCATGGAATGAATATTTATATCTCAATCGACGAGTCATACTTGAAACGTCTTGCTTGTCGATGCTTGCATGAACAGAAGAATCTATAACACTTTAAGACTCGATTAGAAACATGGTTTACTCATTGTGAATTCAAACAAATCTATCTTGATGTTAGCGCACCATGCCTTTGCATGAAAATAGAGTATTCGTGGACACATGTTATGAAAACACGGATATCAATAAGCTTTTGAAATGAAAATTTAATCATGACTTCCAACAAAATATGAAAAATATCAATCATAAAATTAAAATAACTAAAATGCCTCATCAGTCTCTTATAAATAGACCATTGTACAACAAGGACTGTTGATGTATCTCTCTCGAATACAAGAAATTGGATTCGGAATATTTAAAATTCATGAGGAAAAAATTTTATAAACCTCATTAAGGTTAATGACAATTACAGACACCTTCTTTGTTTTTTAAAAATTTTATAAACCTCTTATTTTCGTATAAATTTATGTTTTCCTTCACTCCTCTCTTATGTTATACTTATATATTCGATTTTTTTTTCTTAATTTTACTTTAGACAAAATAATTTTTAATTAATATGCTCTATTTAGCCCTTGTTTGGTCTCCATTATTTTTAAAATAAATTTTTTTCTCTCTTATTGTCAACCCACATTTTTTAAAATAGATTTGTTGGTCATCGTATTTGAAAAAAGGTCATAATTAATTATTTTATATATTGTAATAGTATTAAAAAATATAACTAGCCTTGTCAAATTATTCTAAAACATTCGTTTATGTTGATTGAACTAATTACTTTTCAATCGTATTCGAAAAAAAAATCTTATTTTGTAACTTAATAACAAGGTTTGTAATGATATTTTTCAGATAAAATGATTTAATCTAAATGAGAAGTATGAAAAAGGTTTTAAGAAATAAGAAAAAGAAGAATACATAGTTTAAATAAGATGATTTTAAAATAGATTAGTGGGGTAAAATGAAATTTATATATATGTATAATCTGTTACAAAAATAAACTTTAAGGGATGTTTCCGAAATTTTTGAAATATGAAGGACGTCTCTGTAATTGTCCTAAACTTCTGGAAAAGTATAATTTTGTTTTAATTTTAAAAAATAGATGGTGTATCTCTGAATCGTCATAAATCTACGAGGAAGTATGCGTAATTAACAACTTGAAATAAAGAAAATTTATATATTTTTTAAAAATGGATGTGTGTCTTTGAAATATCATAAACTTCATGGAGGTTTATGTAATTTGTCCTAATTAAAAAATTAGAAAACTAAGAAAATTTTCAGTTGGAAACTGAATTAATTTATGTAACGTGCGTATTTTGGCCTTTAGTATGCAAAACATTCGTATGTTTCAAATTTTTGTATTTCCATCCCCATTTCCACGATTCATTGTGGCAAACGTCATTTTCATTAACTTTTATCAAATTTCTCAACTAAATTGTAAAATGACAAATATACCTCATATTTAAATAAAACAAAAAGAAAAATAAAGAACAAATTGGGTGGACATGGTAAAATATTATATGAAATTAGAAGGTCGTGATAAAACGTTATATGAAATTTGGTGATTGTGATAAAATAAAATCAAATTGGATGGTTATGATGACATTAAATATAAAGTTGTGTAGCTATGGTAAAATAAAATCAAATTGGGTAATCATGATAATACTAGTATAAAGTTGGGTGGCTATTGATGAATTTAATCCCACTTTAATACACATATTCAAACCAAATATTTCCAAAAATGAATTGAAAAATCAATATGGATTATCCTGTTCATCAATAACACCATGAAAATACCATGTCTTCTTTTCAAATACCAAATTGAATCCCAAAAATGGAGGACAATCTACTCTATAGTTACCCAAGCCACATTAGTATTCTCAGCTTGTATGAACAAAGCAAATAAGCCCATAAAGAGGGAAAACACACACACATAAAGGGGTCTGTTAGTATGTAAGAGATAATCAAATAAACCCACCTCAAAAACCTGATCGAGATGAAAATTTATTTCTTGCAAAAGAAAAAAGAAGGTGTAATAATGTGTTTGTTGTGTGTGTTTACGCGTGTTAATCTTCCAATGAATGGGAGAAGGCCGGTCTAAACGATGAAGGGGGAAAGACTAGAAAGAAAATGCCGGGGAAGACATTTTTGCTAGCACCAAAGCAATATAGAATGCACCTTTGATTGAAGACATCCGCATTAATTATTAACATTAGCTTCAAACTTGCAATTGATTACTCCCTGATATGAAGAAAAGTAGCACCAAATCTTTCTTGTGGGGAAAAAGATGAAGGTGCGAGTGCGGGTGCGGGTGAGGAATGTAGATTTTTCATTTTGTTTTAATTATTTTACATAGAATAATATAAACTTTTCATTTTACCCTTTTAAAATTGATCAAAATTCGATTAGATGGTTTCCTTTTGGTCAACCAGTGGAGGGATGAATGGAATCCGTTCATTTGTCATTTTGCTCTGATGAAATGAAAGATTTGAGATTACCATTGATACAAATAAAAAATTGGAATATAATTTATAAAAAATAAAAGATTTAAAATCGCATATGCCATTATCTCAATTAACTATTACTTTAAAGAAGACTTTTGAGAGGTCCTCATTCTTCTAGATGGCCTTGCAAGTCAATGAACATTTTTGTCATTTCTCACTATTGAGCCTAAACATGTTATCTTCCTAATGCATTATTGAGACTTTTAACATGTTATTTTTTCTTAACTAATGCACTTTTTAACCCTTCAATACATAACACCTTAGACAATTTTTCATTTACTAAGAAGAGTTAATGCCTAAATGTCAAAAATACATTTGAAGACGGTGAAAAAAATAGCAAGTTCAGGACAGAAGATCGAAAATGAAAATTCTGCTCAAAAAATGTTTGACTTCAACATTATTTTAGCGGGAAATTTTAGTAGTGGTCACCCAACTTATATGTTTGTTTCATATTAGTTACTCAACTTCGATTGATTTTAATTTAATCACCCAACTTATATTTTTATTTCAATTTCATCATCCAACATGCATATACATCATATCAATTCGATTGTTCCGTTTTAAAATTTTACCAAAATTGATGGAACTCATGTCCCGTTCAATGAAATTCGTGATCTTTTAAGTATGATGTATGACAAGTCTTAATTATCTATAAAATTGATCAAATATTTATATGCACTTATTTACTACCATTGAAATTTCGCCCTTTCAAAACAAAAACATAAAATTTGTATTTTCTAGCGCTTAAAAAATATTATGTTGTCGAAAATATAACTTGGGTCATGAATTATGTTGACCAAGATATATATTTCATCATTATTTCATTACATTGTAAACAATATATCAAATTGAAATAGATTGAAGTTTTGTGGCCAATATGAGAGAAACCTCTAAGTTGGTTGTCCTCTGGTGAAAGATTCCCTTAATTTTCACACCCATAATTTGGTCTTTAGGTGATTAGGTCGCTATTATTACTGAATAATTGATTATATTCCACAATATCCTCAGAATCCTCAAATATCATACATTTGACCCAAACATAATTTTAGAAATAAAATTTTACGAGCGCCCCTTCCCACCAACATATATAACACGCAACCACCCGCTCTCAACCTTCATACCGCCACCACTACGGCGGCCGCCTCTTCCCCAGTACGATGCTTTGGCCTCTAAACCAGTTCTCTTAACAACAGTGGTTGTACTAACCTACGCCGTATGTGCACTGTGTTGTAAAAAATAATCTGTGAACGAATAATCTAAATAGAGAATAAATAATTCAATTAGACTTTAAAACCCCGAAGACTGTGTGAACATAAGGATGGCAAAAAAACCCGTTTAACCCGATACCCGTGGGGTCCCGCTCCGAATGGGGCGGGGATTACCCACCAACCGGGTAAATGGGGCGGGGACGAGACGAGGGTCATTGCCCCGAAGCGGGTATGGGACGGGTACGGAAAACATAGTTCCCGCCCCGCTACCCACCCCATTTAAAG